GTATTAGTAAAATGAATGAATGAATGATGAATATAGTTTTCTTTAACTTTGTTTAGAACTTATTTGGAGTAGTTGTTATATGTTATTCATGTACCATCTACCATGCACACATCAAGTTTTTGTGAGTGAGCTTTGACCGTATTTGTGAGATTTGGGATGGCTATGATTAGTACGGTGAGGTGATTTTGAACATGAATTGGCCTTTAACTTGTTGACCTAAGCTCTTATATATTTCCCTAAAATGAAAAAAAGATTATTGAGCTTTAATATATTTGAATTATATGTCTACCAAAAAAAAAAAAAAAGTGAATTGTATTTTATACTTTCCTTTGTAAGTTATCTTAAAATCTGATGCTCTATAGTCATTTGACTTGGGAGTCATAAGCATAAAACTCGTTATAGGGATCATTTAGTAAGCTTAAGGAAAAAAATGTCCGCAAATAAGATAAGAAAATTTTATATATGTTCACGGATATAGGGAGAAAGAAAAGTTATACGATGAAAAATTTTAATATTAGCTTTTTATTTACAAGGTCTAGTAATACTGGATTTCACTTTCATACAGTGAGAAAAATATTAATTCACCAGTGATTTCTTTGCATGTCCTTTCTATCTGATATAAGATTTTGACTCTTCCTTATAGAAGATTAGTAGCACTTTTTACACATGGATTGCATATACAATTACTCCATATATGTTTAAAATGAGTTGTTTGGGAAAAGTTCACCATTTATAAATTATACATTTATAAGTAAATAACTATTCATGTGATTTGAACTTTCATTAACTGATATTATATTTAAAAATTCATGAAAAATAGTTATCTTAAAAAGACGAAAAATATTTCTCCCATCATATTTGTTGCAAAATTTTGCAAAGTTTGTTAATGTGCATATTTTTCGCTCATTTATCTCTATGTTATTCATGATTCTGTTACTTATTTTCCTTTGTTATTCATGAAAAGCTGCAGGGTGTGTTTATTTAAAGGGAGTTCAGTAGTATATGAGTTAGGAGGAGATGTTGATATTTATCTTAGATACTAGTCTATTGCCCGTGCAATGCATGGGCTATGTTATTTTTGAGGTAATATTAGCATGCCGAATGTTGAAGATTGACAGGAGATATGTGCATAGTAAATAGAACTAAACAACAGAACATGTTTGGACAAATGAAAACAAAATTAATGCTACTATGAAGTAAGAGTAAAACGACGAGTCATATGTATACTCCACATATGCAAGTGTTTAATAAAAAATAGAGCAACTACATTGTAGAGTGACTCAACTTGCATGTCTTGCATACTCATAGTTTTCGAGCAGCATCTTGCCACATTTCTTATTTAAAGATGATTCTAGAAATTGTTGAATTAATAAGTATCTCATTACCTGTCAATGGAAAAGATTTTATGAAAGAAGTTTGCTAAGTGTGTATGGAATGCGAATACACAAAGAAGAAAGCTTCGATTTTGGAAAAGCTGACAAAACTTACTATTACGTGCTGTCATACTTGGCCAACCTACTTGGGCCATTGACCCACTCAATTCGAACCACGTGGTACTCTAGCCGAGGTGGCATATATGGCCGAGGCCCATATACCGAGGCCTGTGAAAGTAGCCGAAGTCCATACGTCGAGGCCCGTGAACCGAAGTCATGATGCGAGATCATCGAAAAGATAGTCGAAGCTCTGAAGCGGAAGTATTACGTGAGTAGCAGAAGCCTCCGAACCATGCAGAAACATCTTCCATGATCACTTCTCCAAAGAGATATTCTACATAATGATCTTGTTTGAATGATTAATGAAACTTTGTCATAAGTGTACATAACAAGGCTTGTCATTAGCATGAGGGTTCTGCATAAGCAATAAATGCGCAGCAAGCTAGCAAGTCAAGGATAATGCCTAGGATTGGATGTTTGGATTAAAGAGATGAGGCCGCATGCCACCTCATCCAAGGGCTGTTATTTCACATGTACCACTATAAATACTTCACTTGTGTAACATTAAAGGGCTAATGCAAGAATCAATACAAGAAACCACATTTTACTCTCTCTTTCATATTATCTTGCAACACAATACGAGTTCATATATATTTACATGCACATTCATGAGCACCGATTGGTAATTTATGTACAATTGGATTACGAACATCCCGCCGGATTCTGAACGTTCTCGTCCCGCGTCGTTGAGTTACTCCCACGCCCCTGATCCGTTCGTTCTAGACCGTCCACGTGTCTTAGCGTGTAGGACCCTCACTCACGTGTGCGCGGGTGGGTCTGACATCTGTTGGCAACATTTTTTGGGGTCAATAGATTGGGGTCTCAAAACTTCACACCAACACACGTAAAAAGAACTCAATGGTACAAGAAATAGTCCCATAAGAGTTTTGACAGCAATCACTGGTAAAACCATACATATCTGTAAGAAAACTGAAGGAATCTAGATGGAATGCAGGTGGGAATCTAAGAATCGAAAAAAAATAATAATAAATTAAAAAAAAAAGGGAAAGAGTAAATGATTGAGTTTATTTGGACTTTCTCCATAAAAGTATCAACTTGGAATTCTTTAGAATTGTACAAGAATTCATTCTTTGTTTGCCGATGGAAGAACACTTTGGAGATTGAAATATAGGATGATAACAAATCACCCATTTTGATGTGGGTTGAGATGAAATCAACATCCTTGATTCTTAGCTTTTGAAAATGTTCCTAAACAAGAAAAAAACAATGTATTGCACATATGAAGATATAAAATGCAAAAATGTAAACCTTGATTCAATCTCTCTCTCATGATTAGCAGATAAATTAAATTAACAAATATAAAAAATAACAAACATCATTATATTAAAAGCTTTAAGATTTTCAAATGAATAAGAAGACTATACTTTTACGTTTCTTAACAGGACACTAAAAGGATGTTGTTGTTTTCTTGCTTTTGAATTTACCAAGAACTACACAATCTTTGATGTTTTTCAAAGAAATGAACACTACACCTTAAGTTGCATAATGAAACAAAGAAGCCAAGTCAATGTCAATTACGTTACCCAAAACTCCTCCCTGAGCAAATATTCAACGCCACTACCTCACAAAACAAATTGCAATAAACCACAATTGAGGAATTGTTGTCTTGGCTACTGGAATTCCAACTCGACAGCAATTGGAACTTAGACTTATGGAAGGAAAGAATTTTGGGAGTATACAAAGATAAACTCATACTAATATGGTACCTGTTAGGACCTTCCTTTTGCTGCTCACGGTGATTTCCGGGCTCAGTTAACCATTAAAACCGAATTCAACATCAATTTTGGAGTCACCAATACCGCCGGCGCCTCTTCCTCTTTGGTTGATTTCCTCCTTTGCTTTGTTGATTTAATCCACTCACTTAGGATGGATACCACTCAGGTAAGGTTCACAAAGACTCAAGCAATTGGGGTGGAGAAGAAATCACGGAGAAGATGAAGGCAGAAGAACATGGCTGGGCACGGCAGTTTCTCTAACTCTCACGGCTTCAACATTGGACGGGTTCAACAAGGGTGAAAACACCAATATATATAGTAAGTCAAGTGGCCAACATAAGGTAAGTCGGGATATGGTAAGTAGGCTCGACTAGGGTTAACTTCCAATGGAAGGAATCAACAAGCCACAAAGAGTATTAGCCGTCCAATAGGTAAAGCAACATTTGGTCGGTTCATCCATTATTCGATGTTGAATTATCGTTCAGTCATTCATGTCGAATGATAAAATTGGTTCTCATCATCGCCCGGGAGGTCGTTTGACAACATAATGTCTAACAGTACCCCATACCCCGTATCATACAAACCACATATTTACAAACAAAAGAATGAGAATATCCCAAAAACCCATTAAAGAACACCCCTTGAAAATCTGAGAAAAAAATTTCACTTAAAAAGAGAAGAGGCACGAAAAAGCATACCATAGCGACTTGATGTCATCTTCGAGTTCATGAAGCCTATTATTTATCTTGCTCTTATATCCATTGTCCCTTCTCCTCCATGGGTGTCAAAGGCATGTGCTGATATGGAGGAGCTTTGCCGAAAGAATTTTTCGGCTCGGACTGCACTATAGGCACCAATGCACCCATTGAAGTACTCTCCCTTCCATTTTTATCTTATCACAACGAGGACAGTTTACAACTCTCTCTCCCTCTCTCTCTGTGAAAGTGTAGAATAAGGTAACAAGGGAAATGAATTGGGGCTTGAGTTGTGAGATATTTACTTGGAGAAAGATATTATGAACAGTGACAGAACCAGTTGTGAATAGTAAAGAAATCAGATAAGTGTGAAACGATGGGTACACAAATGAATAGCGAACCCTCATCCTCTCTTTTAAGAGAGTAGTGATAGTGATATGACTTGGAGGAGAGGGTTCATAGTCCTTTTTTTTTAGATGAAATTTTAATTTTAATATTGTATTTAGTGTTTTGTCAATATTGATATTGATATTCTATATTTCAATTCTAAGTTATTGATACACGTAGTATTACATGATTTGGTGTTACACATGTTTTACTTTTATTGTCTTATATGACTTAGTTATATGTTTTAATTGTGAGTTTCTTTTTACTTTTATACGTTGTAGTGTTGTTTTCATGTTTTTCAGGAAATAGGTATGATAAGTTCTTGATATGGTTTTTTGAATTAAGTCTTTGGGTTAATTTTGTTAGGTAATTTTGAATTTAATTTATAAAATAAATGATTTTGTCACGAAATGTTAGAAGGGGAATTTGTTAGATCTAAATTGTAATTTGTATTCCCATGTCCAAAATTATAGTTATTAAGTTGTAATTAAAGTCAAAAGACTTGGGGGTTGATAAGATATACGGTGAAGAAGTTAAAGATTACAAATATCAAACATTGATTCTATTATTCTCTTGCTTCAACCAAAGATCAAAGCACAAAAAATTTGTAGATCAAATACCAAAAATCTTTACATTCTCCAATAAGCTTTCAGATTTTTTAAGTTGGGAAGAGATAGCTGGAGTTTCAAATGTTTCAAAACGAATTTGTTCTTGGTGATCCACTTGAATGGAAAAGAAGTCCAGAGTTCGAGAATGTACGTGTTGCACAATCGAAGAAGTTCTTCGGTGATTTACAGATTGAATGGTTAGAGTCTATTAAGGTTTAGTTGTTTTTTGACCAACCGTAAATTATTTTTTAAGTGCACAATCGAAGAAGTTCTTCGGTGATTTACAGGTTGATTGGTTAGAGTCTAGTAAGGTTTAGTAGTTTTTTGACCAACCGTAAATTATTTTTTAAGTGGATCGTTTTGTTAGGGTTTGTCCGAGGTTTTTTATCCCCATTAAGAGTTTTTCAAGGAGTTTCCCTCCGTTACCAAATTTGGTATTCTTTACTTTATTACTTTTGATCTAAATTACTTAACTGATATATTCTTAGGGTTTAAATTGACTTTAAACTTAATCATCTAAAAACAATAAATAAATGAATTGTTGCTTTTTATTAGTTAATTAAATTCCGCATTATACACTTCTAGATGTAACTGATTGGGTCTAAACGTTGATTATTATATTTTTTCATAGGTCATTTTAACAATAATCAAAGGAAAGATATAATTCATACAGTATGGAGACAAATAATGACAGAAAGTTATAATCACATAATAAGCGCCTTATTTGGTTAAATTAAAATTAAGAATTTTTAGTATATTTCAGTAAAAATTGATGAAATGTATGATTGAAAAATTGATAAAAATTGTGGATTTCATGAAATTTATGATTAAAATTTCTTTTTAAAAATTTTTGAAAATGGTACTCAAATGGTCAAATCTTTTAGACCGTACTATCAATTATCTATAAAAATTAAAATAGAGACTAAAATATACTATTAATTACAGTAAATTGAAGACTTCACTATACTTCTACAAATTCTGCTCTAAGGTTATACACGTAATTGGATGTGAATCGATAACCGCACAACAAAGATCATTGTTATTATTATGAAATGAGCTTAAAATCAGTTAATTTATTGCTCTAATTTAATTTTGACCATATCAAGCATGATAAATTGATTTTTTTAGTGAAGTTCATTTTGACCAAGTCGAGAAACAATAATTCTACTTCAACAAAGTTGGGTTACAAAAGTGACTTTACAAAGTGTGTTGGCGGAATCCAGGCCATTGATTTCATATAATTTAAAAATCTATTTTTGAAATGATTGGTGTAGATCCAATTTTGTCAAACTCTTTTGTCATTGTAGCATAACTCGTCGAGAAAATCGATTTCGTAAGGGCAATTCTATAGTATTCAAATATGATTATAGTGACATTAAGCCTTCATCAAGAATAACAATTTATAAATTTAGTTAAAACTAAACATATTTTTTCATTCATACATTATTTATTATTATCAACACATTTCTTTAGATCCACTTCTATTTGTTTACTACTCATATTTGTAAATTTATCAAATGGGAGCTTGTTATATTGAACACAATTGTACAGTAGTAAAGCAAATATTATTTTTAACTTGCATTAGAATGTTTATACGTGCTAATAGAGTAAGAGCATGTTTAACATGACTTTCGGAGGAAAATTAGGCCAACTACCATTAAAAAATGAAATATTAGATTAATACTCTTAAAATTAATTAAAATTACAAATTTCCATATTAATTATGCCCAAAATGCAGAAAGCTTACAAATTGATTGTCACTTTCTCAGATTTTGTCACTTTTTAAAGATTTTGTGACCCTTTTTTGAATTTCTGTCACTTTTTATTTAGCAGTATTTCTTTTCTCATTTTATAAGAGTAAGGGTTAATCATAAATATTGATTTAAAGGGACATGATATTTCACTTTTTTATGAAAAAGTATATGCTATTTTTTTTAACAAAAAAGTGATATTTACGTTTTAATAAAGAGTATTGTATGTGCAATCTTTTGGAACAAACAATTTCGATCACTTTAATTGTTCATTTTTTTTACTCGTTGTCTTGTTCTCATTTGCCTCTATAACTGATGAAGCCGTTAATTTTGTCAATATTTGCAAAAATGAATACAAAAGAAAAGTGGAAACTTTTTCGAAAGAAAAAGTGAAAGTGTATGGCACTTTTAATTTTCAACAAATTAACTCATATGTAAAAACACAAATAAATTATAACATCGTCTCACTTTTTCATGTAAAGAAAAATTTGAATCTATATTCATATTCAAATTTTCACAAACACAAATGTATCCATCTCTTCAATTGATCTTAACGAATTCCAATAAGATAGACTATGGCATTTTTAGAAAAATGTGACAGAATCATATGTAAAAATATAGATAAAGTATTGCATTATGTGACTTTTTAATTCCAATGTTTGAGTTCATATTTATATTTAAATTTTCACACACACACACATGCATATATTTATTTAATTGCTCCACATGAATTCAAATGAGATATTGGAAACGTTTCATTAAAAAAAAGTAACAGAGGTTACTTTTTCTTGCTCTCATTTTCACTACATCTTGTATGCATAATTTGAATTGATCCAAATTTTATTTATATATATATATACTAACTCAGTCTAATACACCACATCATGTTACTTTTTAATATAGAACAACATTTTAATTTGTATTTATGTTTAAATTTTGAAAAAAAAACACACATATGCATTTATTTGATTGCTCTAAAGGAATTCAAATGAGACAGATTGATATTTTTTCAGATAAAATGATAGAGAATGTCATTTTTTTCACCATTTTTCATATATATATATATATATATATATTATTTTATTTTAACTCAAAATTATTAATTTAGAGATGAAATTTCATGTGTGGTAGAACAAAAAACCTCAACATAATCAAAATCAAATAAAATATGAATTAATTGAATTAAAAAGCTAAAACATACAAACATGTAGATTTGAGTTGATTATTTGTAAAACTGGGGAAGAAAACTTTGAAGAAAAAATAGTGGAAATAGCCATTGATCTTGTTTTGACTTCATTTGTGCAAGCTTTCCTCTTATGATTACGATTTTGCTTAATTTAGTTCTAGGAAGAGTTGAAATTTCAGCTGTTGATAGGCTTCTCCTCTTTAACTTAGGATCATAAATATTGCGGTATAATTGAATGAAATTAGAGTGTGTTTGATTAACATGGAAAATATCATCTAGAAAAGAAAATATTTTCCTTAAAAATAAGGAAAATTAGACATATTTTCAAAAGTTGAAAAATGTTTTCCTTGAAAAAAATTAACAATCAAACACCCCAAGTAGGAATTTAGGTTGAAAATTGATATTTTTCATGGAAAATAAATGTAATCAAACACACCCTTATTGTATTTGCCTTTTAACCTAGGTTTATCAAGATTTTTCAAAGATTAATTATATTACCACCACAAAATTTACTTGTTACACCACAATTCCAATTAATATTTTTATTTACTTAAATGGTCATGAGTAAAAGTACTTAATTAACCACACTTTTAGATATATTTTTTAACATTAAACAATTTATATAGACACCCCAATCATTAACAAACTTATCTATATTTTCTTTGAGGCTGGGGTGCACAGTGCAAATTCTTTTACCCTTCGACAACCTTTTTGTTTATTTCCTTTTTCCTCAATAACACCTCCTTTTACCTCAAGGCCTTAGTTATTCTTGCCGATTATTATTTTATTACTTCTATTGAAAACCCTAATCAACAATTCATAAGTTATTTTTACTTTTTCGAACACATGCTTTTCTTATTATTAATTTTATAATAAGTTTATACATATTATGATATGTTTTTATTTGTACTTGTTAACACATAAAAATGCAGCCCAAATCGAACAGTTCAAGGAGTGAAGCCCAATTGGACGATCCTCAAATTAGATAGCCCAAATAACGAAGCCCAATCAAACAAATCAAGATGAAGGCCCGAATAAGGAGGCCCAAGAACGCGGTAACGCCATCGCCCAAGTTTGCAAGTCGCCCAGAATCTGAGCGAATGGAATGTCATACAGTCGCCCAGAGCTGTTACTCTATTCTCGCCCAAACCTTCAAGTCGCCCAAGGTCTTAACAAACATAAAGCGTCGTAGTTATCAAGAAGTGCAGTTATCAAAACAGTTATTAAAGCAGCCCTATCACGTTCCACTATTCAAAGAATTCAATCGAAAGCGGTTGAACGATGAAGGGTAATGGCAGCAGTTAAAAAGGCAGTTTTCATGACAAGATGGCCATTACGAAGAAAGTGGGTAGTTATAGGACGATCAAACAGTTTTTAGAGCGGTTGATCACAAAGAGATCGTCCATGAAGTATAAAAAGGAGAAAGGACATAGAAGCAAAGGATCGAATCCAAAACTCTCGAACAGAGAACATGTAATTTTTATTTCCTTAGTTTTTAGATTTAAACACTTTTCTTTCAGTAACTCGTGTGCCTGCGCCCCTTGGAGGCACGTTGTTTTTTATTTCCAATTGTGAAATTTATCGCCAATAAAAGAACACCCCTTTTTGAGATTTTGTCTCAAGAGGTTTTGTCCCTTACACAATCGTCTGATCCTTTTTAATTGTTAGCGACTAACCCACACGAAACAATTTGGCACGCCCAGTGGGACAGTGGTGTTATGTGTTGAAAGTACAAAAGGTGAAACAATATACCTCAGAGATCCGATAAGGAAGCAGCAAGTCAGGGAGGAATCCAGTCTGTGATCGAGCGATATGAGGAGTAGCATGCCTCTCCACGAATAGATGGACAGAACCAGAGCAGTAACAGTCGTTACGAACCAATGACGGAGTTGAGTCTTCGAACCATGCGTGCATTACTTGGAGAACTCACACAAAACGTCGTTGAACAGGTAAATCTTCGAAGTATTCATAATATGGAAAGATTTACACAAAATGAGAATGTACACTATGACAATATGACCAAACAACTAAAGACATTGAACGAAACAATGAATAAGTTAGTAGGCCAAATATGTCAACCGGCTATACCTTTTACAAACCACTTTCAAACTAAGACAATTGTGGGACATAAGCCCTCGGTCCTAAATCCGAGTCAAGGGGTAGAACCGCTTTCTGGTCCCTCTACTTCAAACAAAGGAGGTACTACAGTGCCAAATCAGAATAATGGTAGTAGTATGCCTAATTTGGGGGTAATCCAAGCGTGAGAGATAATGTCCTAAACAATGGACAGAATATTCCACGTGGTAATGAGGGAACAGATGTCCAGGCTAATGGTAATGGCCCAAATTATGGTAATTTTGTTGCCAATCAAGGACCAAACATTAGGCTTCATGCAAATCAACCGGTTAATCAGCCTGTAGGAATTTCATATGATCCCAATGTCATGTTGAGGAACCAGATTATGGAAATCGTACAGGATCAGATGGCTTTTGGGGTGCGTCTTGTCATTAGGCCGACGTACACAAAGCCATATCCTGATTGGGTAGACCAAGCATATCCATGGCCTAGAGGGTACAAAGTGCCAGAATTCTCACTGTTTACCGGTTTAGGGGAGGTGTCTACTCTAGAACACATAGGGCGATTCACGTTGCAAAGTGGTGATGTAACCGATTACCATAAAATGAGACTTTTCTCTAGTTCGTTAACAGGAGTAGCTTTCTCCTGGTTCATCAACTTGCCAGTGAACTCTGTTCAAACATGGCAACAACTGGAACAGTTGTTTCACGCTCAGTTTTATAAAACTGAGTCTGAAGTCACTTTGGCTGATTTGGCGAATCTACGTCAAATGCCAAACGAATGGGCAAAAAGTTTTCTCCAAAGGTTCAAGACGGCAAGAAGTAAGTGTTTTGTACCTCTGCCCGAAAAAGAATTTGTCAAGATCGCTCAAGGCTGCTTGAGCTTTGATTTAAAAAAGAAGTTCTAGGACAAGGAATTTCCTGACCTTTTCCAGTTAAGTGCGAATGTGATTAGATATGAACGACTGATAAGAGAGGAAGAACAAATGAAAAATTCTAGTAAAGGGACTTATTACAAAGACCCAAATTTTGACGTTCATACCATCGACGACGAGTTATACGATCAGGCCGAAATGTGTTTGGCCGAATTGGTCAAAGGGGATACATATACTTGTCCCATAATGGCCAAGCCTAGACCATCGGGTAAAGATGAGCCCATAAAAGATGGAAACATAAAGGCTAGAACGTTTTCGTTTGACGTGACCAAAGCTGACCTTATATTCGATAAATTATATAGGGATAAGCAGATAAAGCTGAGCGATAAGCACAAATTGCCTAACCCTGAACAAATTAAGGGTAAAAAATATTATAAATGGCATAATGCATGGTCACATTTGACTAACAATTGCTTGATTTTCCGCCATGTATTGCAGGATGCCATTGAATCAGGACGAATTACGTTCGATGATAAGAAAAAGATGGCAGTAGACGAGGATCCTTTCCCACAGTCACTTGAAGTAAACATGGTGACATCTGGATTCAAAAACAAGTTGCCAAAATTCAAGTTGGTCATAGATGATGGAGAAGAGGATACTAAAACACATCCCAGTGTCTTCGAACGAATCAAGGGGAAAGAACCAAAAAAGGACGAAGACGTCCTGTGTGCAAGATGTAAAAGAGAAGTGAATGGAAATACGGAGAAACCAGGGACATGGCAGCATCCTTATCGCCCTACCTTCTTTCCAAACACTCAGCCTGGTAGAGGGTTAGGTACATCATTCTATAGAGGGCCGTCTTTTGAGAAGCAGTTTAGACCAGCAGAGAATGGAAGAACATTCAGGCCGCAACCTCGTCGGCCAAATGTATGGCATTCATTCCAATACAATGCAGGAAGGGCAATACCCTTCGATGAGATGACTAGGACACAACAAAGGCGTTTCCAACAAAACTACGGACGAATGATGAGGCAGCAACAGGGAGTGCCACATCCTAAAGAACCTAAACTACTCAAGGTAGCCAATCAAAACATCCTCAAAGGTAGTAAAGAGACTGGTACAAATGAATCAATGAAGGAACTGCCAGAAAACTCTTCTGGGAGATCAAGGTTTGAGCGAGACAAAAGGGATGAAGAAGATCCAGATCAGCCCCTTGCTATCCAATTCGGTACGTTACCTCCTGTCGTGGCCAATAATTACCTACTGGCCAACGAATTCAAAAATAAAGAAAAGGAAGAAGAGAGGGAGGACAACGAAGGAGAAGCCTGCGTGCTGGTATGTGAAGAAGGCCAGACTTCTGGAGAGGCCTACAACGATGAAGAGGACGACAGGATGACAGACATCGAAGAAGAAATTGACTTAGAAGCAGAAAGAAAAAAGAGAGGAGTATCGCACAATACTCTGCTTAAGCAACTACATCAAGAGGGAGTTCGCGAAGTAGACTTATTGGGGGAACCATCTGGGCGTCCTTTTGATTTCTACGTACTGTACGGGACACCCAAAAGGAAGAAGAGAGTGCCTCGCTCTGAAAAGTATGGGTCACCTCCAAGAATAATGCCCCCTCCAACAGGTTGGGTAACTGATGAGGAAGCATTAGAAAGAAGTAGGAAGGAAGTTTAGGAGACAGAGGATCAACGTGATATACTGCACGTCGATTTGTCACAGGGGGATAATTCAACAGAAAACAAGTAGGAAGTAGAAATAGAGGCTGTCGAAAAGGTTATTTTTAAAACGGCCAGCCATGAAATTGACAAAACACTTGAGGCCATTATACGTTAAAGCTCTAGTTAACGGCGTCCAAGTGGCAAAAGTGCTTGTCGACAATGGAGCAGCTATAAACACCATTCCATCTAGGATGATGAGGACGTTCGCAAAGACAGAGGGTGACATGATTCCTACAGAAGTCATCCTCACTAGCTTCAATGGAGGAGCAACTTCAGCTAAGGGAGTTATGCCATTGGACATAACTATAGGGATGACTACTAGGACCACTGTCTTTTTTGTAATAGATGGTCCTACTAGTTACAACGTGCTCCTAGGAAGAGATTGGATACACGGAAGTCGCTCCATCAATGCCTGATCTTTTGGAATGACAAAGGCGAAGTAGAGGTGGTACAGGCCAATCATAGGCCTTTTGTTGTAGAAGCAAACTCAGTGGAAAAGTTCATGTACGAAGGAAACTATGGACCTGTCAGAGTAGTACAAGACGGAGAAGAAACTCAGATTGTCGCGCAAAGCGAAGAACCATTCTCAGTGGACGCACTCACTAAGATGTTCAAACAGATGAGGCCAAATATAGTGGCCTTGGAAGAGCCAGTGATTGGTAAAAGAATAATCAAGAAATCTTGAATGGATTCTGAGTTACGAAAGCAAATGGCCGACATTCAGGCCTTCAAAGCCAGACTGATGGCTTTCAATAAAGAATGCAATGACAAGGTGAAGGAAGAGACTGCACTAAAAGCGCTGAAGTACAAGTTAGCAGTATTCGAGTTAGAGCAAAGCATTGGTCGAGAAGTCAACAAGGTGGACTGTTTGGAAGAGGAAACACTTACAAGAGAAATGGACGACGAAGTGATGCGGATTGCCAAACCTGGATACGCTCAAGCACAAGACTCTCTGATCAAAGTAAATATTGAAGATGAAGAGACAGAATATGAACAGCCACATTTCTGCCTAATAAACAGAATTAAATAGCCCAAAGTCTTGGGAAAGGTGGTGGAAATATCAAAAGAAAAAGGCAAGATTTTTCAGCACAAAGCAGTTAAATGCTTGAAGAATTGACGACTAAAAAACAAACGTCAAATGAATGCACAAGAAGTTAATGTTCATTAATGATGAGCAAAGTTACAAAAGGAAAAAAATCGAATTACAAAAGAAAAAAGACATCATATGTCTTGATTACAGTCTACCCCATATTGAACGAATTCGTTCCCTAAGTTTTTCCCAATCCTCGTTCTGTCGAGAGGAAGTGATGTTCAATTCAGCCGCGACATCATCGTCAACTTCCAACTTCTTGTACTGCTCGACCAAGGACTTAGTTCGCTCAATTCCCTGGGAGGCGTTGCACTTTTTAGCAGTCATTCTCGCCCTGCAGTCGTCCATTTTGGCTTGAAGTTCCCTCATCTAAGCAGCCAAGTTAACCATCAAAGAGTCTTCAACCATAACTTCGGAAGAGATTTCTTTCAACTCGTCCTCAGCCTTGTTAATCTCCATACGCAAAGACTCTTTCTCAACTACGGCTCGAAGATATTGAGTACGCTTGGCCTTTAGTTCAGCATTCTTGGCCAGCATAGAAAGGACCTCGGAGTGGATAACCTTCAACGTCGCTTTAAAATCGGCAGAAAGATTGAGCGACGGAAGCGTCAGTGCTTGCTCCAACTTCACACTCAAATGCTCAAGTTCATCCTTGTGTTTGGCAGCACTAGCCCTTTCCAATATCCATATCCATGAAGGATACGTACTCAAATACCGACTCCTTGAGGAACTTCAAATATTCCTCTGAAGAAGCAGCAGGACGATCAGATGGAGCAGGGCGAGACGTTTGGACTTGCCCCCAGGAAGCGAACAAATCTTGGATAGAGCGCACAATCCTGTCAGCATCCTGCGAAGAAGGTTGCCAATGTTAAAGGTCCTCACTACAACGAACAAAATAGAAATAGAAGTGGAGCAAAGATTACCTCATCAACAATCGTGGAAGATGACATTCCCCCAGCCAAGCTTGCCACCAACGACTCCTCCATTCGCGAGGACTTCCCCTTGTCTGAGCGAGAAGATGTTGCCACAACGGGCGGACTCATAGGAGTATCTGCAGAACTCAAGAGCAACAAATTAAAAACCAACAGTACAAGCAAAGGTAAGACATCAAAAGACTGAATTACCTTCTGCTTCAATATCTGGGGGGTTGACGCCCTGGTAAGAAGGTGGTTCATCCATGAGTTGTGATGAGGACTCTGGGACTGAAGATGTCCCTTTAAGAGTAGCCCCTTCATCAACCGGTTTGGATGAAGTAGCCTCAGCAGAGGATGATGGAGCAAGAGCTGTTGATGCCAAGGCCTTTGAAGAAGAGGCTGAACTTTTCTGAGGAGTCCAAAAGATCATCAGCACACAGAAAAGTATCAAGTAAGGAAAAGTATGCTTGTAAGTAAATCAATTTAATTACCTTCCTCCTGACGATAAGAGGGGCATCATCATCATCATCAATATCATCCTCCAGAATGGGAGATACTGAGGCTGGCCGTTTGCGGCTTGGGGCACTCTTGGCCGTAGTAGGCTTGGCGGGGAGAGAAGAAGATGGACGAGCAGACTGTTTAGTGCGACAAGAAGGAGAAGGACTTCAAATGGACAAGGGAGTGACTAAAACAGAAGGAGGGGAAGAAATGCTCGGTTGGTCTAATAAATGAAAGGCACGATTGGTATCAGTCGTAAATAATCTGCGCTTCACTGACGACCAGAGCTGCTAAAAAAGAAGGTGTGTGGCATGACAAGAATTAAAAGGGGCTAATGAAAAGTGGCTTGATAAATGGAGGTTGCGAGCATTTATAGCCTCTGCTTCCGCCTTATTAATGGTATGAAAACGGTCAATTAAGGTCTTCGAATAGCAAAGAGGAACAGGCCAAGTTTGGCCGAAACCAAGCTGACGAGCAAAAAATTGGGGAGCATAAATTTCTACCCCCGCTTTGGCATTGGTCCCAGTTAAGATATTATGAAAAAGCTCCCTACCGGTTAAAAACTGGATCCAAATGAGCAGGGAGGTGCTCGCGCTATCTATAGTGGAAGGGGGATGTACATAGTTCGGAGTCAAAAAAGAAGGAAAAGGAAAAAAGGAAGAGATTAAATCTAAAGAATAAAAGAACGAAAAAATGTCCCTTCTGGACATATTTACAGGAGCTAAGGGCTCAATGGCTAGCCCATAGCAGCTGGCAGAAAAATGAGAAATTGAAGGAGCGCCAAGCGATGGGAAATAGGATCTCAACCACAATTGAGTGAACCAAAGAGGTCCACTGCCAGTGGGAGATGCACCATTCTTCAATTGAGTTTGAAGAGAGGCCATGCCTCTATAAAGGGCAGCCAAAAACAAAGAACATAAATTCAAAGGCCTGCCACGCGCTAATTCGTGCGCTATAGGTAAATAACTCAGAGAGGGCTTTATGCTTGGCACGCACAAAATATATTTACAAAGCCAAACTAGAAGGAAGGTCACTCGCTCAGTATGGGAAGGCTCAGCACTCGAATGATTGTGGAGGGTCTGCAGGCTTGAATAAGAATTAATATAGTTTTTACCAAACTTTGGGGCGCCACCAGAAACTAAGATACCTGGAAAAATGGTATCGCCCAAAGGTGGTAGATTCACCAGGGCCCCAACATCCCTTAGAGTAATAGACATGGGGCCGAGAGGGAAAATAAAGGTATTATACTCGGAAGACCAAAAGCTCAAAGCACTCGAAAAAAGTGCAGAATCAAAAGTAGGAGGGCGAATAGAGATTTCTAACAAATCAGAAATCCTAGCGCTATCAAAAAGTGCCTTAGTAGGACCATGACCCACAAGGCGAGTATGCCACCTACGAAAAGCTACATCAGATTTAGGCCAAGTGCGAATACCTCTTTTACGAAGTGGCCCCAACGGCAGAGAGTTTAGAAAAGGAGGGCCATGAGTGCAAGGAAACAGCTGACCCACC